TCCGTCAAAAAATTAAAATACCATGTATATTTTTCTTTATTACTTTTATCATTTTTATTATTATTATTATCATTATTTATTTTTATTACATTATTTTTATCTTTATTACATTTTATTTTTTTTTTATTATTTTTTTTTATTTTTTTATTTGATCATCATTATTTTATTTTTTATTTCATATTATTATTATCATCATCATTATTATTATTTTGATGACTTTAGCACCATTTGCAATCCCCAAATAAAGTAATAGCAAAATTTGGGGATTGGAAAAAAATTTTTTTACAAATTTTTGAACATATCGGCAAGTTTCTTACGTTATCCTTTTATTGCCACTTGGGTATACCCTTATGAAAAAAATTAAAAAAAAACTCCTCCTTTTCCACAAATTATAACAAATTTTAATAGTTTTTAATTTATAACCCAGACAGTGTAAAATACCAATGTAAAATAAAAATATACATGATAGAAATCTGTTTTTCGTGTTTTAAACCTCTTTTTTTTGCGATTCAACAAAAACGTTGCCTTTTTACATTAGATTATACTTGATAAAAATTTCACTTTCGTTTATCGGGTACTTTAATACTAATTTCCAATGTCATAAATAAAATTTTCATGCTCATTTTTTAAATTAAAAAAACTGACCACTTCAATATTAGCCAATCGAAGTAATACGAAACTCAAAACTTGACAACCGTTCGTGCTAAAATCCCCCGGGGCAATTCCGTTGGGAAACATCCGAGCTGCATGTTCAAGGGTTTTGAAAATTATTTTTCTGAAAATTTGTCGTGAATATGAAATTAAGAAAATCTTTGGGGGAAAATGTTCATTACATAAACCTTAAGAAAGTAAAAGCGCACATCTCCTTCGGACTTTTTAAAAGCTACATTAAGAGGTTTTTTTTTAACTTACTTTTCGAAATGATCATTTTGACAATTCTAATTACGGTTTTGTTTAGATTCAAACCAGAATTTATTTACAAGATAAGTTTTTTATTTTTGATGGTGAAACATTTGATTTGTAAAAACGAGTTTTCAAATTTTCCCCTTCCAGTATAAAAAATTTAATTTTATGAATTAGATACATTAATTTTATTTTCATGCTTTTGTTAGTGCTTTAAACTGCAATATATCAGATAAAATTTTGATAAAAACACTAGTTTAAATTTATAAAAAAATAACAATTTTTTACTGTAGCGACTATATCTAAATGCGATTGAAAAGAATATTATAACTAATGGAATAACGAAAATAATGCCGTCATACATAAATTTTTTCTTTTTAGTAAAAAAAAGTTGACGCACTCATAATCATGTTAAAAATATAACACAAATTAGAGAGAAATTTGATATAAACTTATCATTTCAAAATTGATAATACCGCCGAGGTATGGTCATACACCTGTTAAATTCTGCTGAAAGGCCCATTTATGCCTCAGAAATATTTAACTCCTGATTTCCTGTGATAGTTTCCCTAAAAAGTTACAAATTCGCCAATTACCCGAGCCATTCTTTTGACCTTTGTTACGTTTTAACAATTAGCATCCTGCTTACATTTTAATAATTTTATGACAAATAATTTCACATTCAGCGCTACTTTCTTCACGCGTTAAATATCTATTATGCTCTAAAACCGTTATTTAAATGTTAAACAATCCATGTTTACCCTTTCTTCAGAAGGAAAAAAAAATGTCATTTTTTGAAGCATAATGTGCCTTTAAAATTGTTTCGAATTATAATATTCTACGACCAGTATGTAATGCAGACAATTTATTCTTGAATGTTATATTTTTTCAGGACGAAAATGAGGAAGACAGTAAAATCCACCATATTACATACGCTTTTGTTGTCCTACACTTTCTTGCCATCAATATACAGTCAACAATTAGCAACAACAAATGGTAAGCCAACTTATGAAGATATTTTGCAATTGTCTTTTCTCCATAACATAAGAAACATTTGTAAATTTCTTTGCCCGATACATGTGACAAATACTTAATAAAGAATATGATTTTGAAACTGAACTTATGTATCATTTTTAAAACTTTCTTCTTACAGCTGCTTATCCAAATACGTGATCACCCAGGAACATTCATGGAACCAATTTTCTGAACAAAGGGAATATTTGCTAACATTCCTTTCGCCACCTGCAATCCCGTTCATGGACAATATTGGAACGGAGCTTCACAAACCTATCCGCAATATACGCTCAACAATAGGCGACTATCAAAAACCGGATACGGAGCTTACAATACCGGGATATCCTCAAAATGGCGCATATTATCACAACAATATTACCAAACAACCATATGCACAGTACGGGGACAGAAATTATTACGGTCAGTACCCCAGGTTTGACGCTCAATACTGGTCTGGACAATATTCCCACAGCAGGATGCCGTTGTATCAACACAAGTCCGGGTTTGATTCACCCAGGAGTCCCAAAATGTACCCCGTTTATCATGGTCAACAAAACTATTACGGCCACCCCGGCTACTACCCAAGTCAGCAGTTTCATGGCGGGTATCCGTATCAAAAGAAACGTATCGGTAAAGGATTTTTAGGTGGGACTGGACACAGTGTGGCCAAAACACTTCTCGGTGCTGCGGTCGTCGGGGTCGTCGCTGGGACAGTGGCCAAAAAGGGATGATACTACAAATTTCGATGCACTATAAACCCAAAGTCTTTCGTTTATTTTCAAAATTAAAAACAAAATGTTTTATATATTATGTGTTATGCTATTGTTTTCAATAAATCCTTTTTCAGAACTTTGTATGTTTGTCATTTAAGTGTATATAAAACATATCATGAACATCCATCTAGCTCATGAAATATCGAAATATTGTAGGTACTGTTATACCATTAGTTTCATTCAAAATGCACCAATTCATTAATAAAGATTTATTAAAAAGAAATGCAACAATAAAAGGTATAACTCTGGTCAAATATTGCACACATATCATGCAATAACTAAAATTAAAGATTGATGCAAATCTTTTGGGTATTTTTTCCTATTGAAATCCTGTTAGTAAGGATCATCTCTGCTGTAAGATGAAGAATTATATATAATCCTTTGGCCGTCAAACGGGGTAGCATTTAGCAGGATACTTTAATACGTACCTATTAGATCTTTTTAAGCATATATCTTCTCCGTCATAGGTAAAATAGGGTCGGGAGTCTAATATGTATCTTTTTTGTACGGTGATATAAATAAACAACAAAATCGCATTATACATATATACAACATCTATTTTCTAAAACTCAGATATAATTAGAAAAGCAGAAAATGTTGGATAACTAAAGCTACGTATCTAGACTTAAAGTCGTTGATAGTCTAATTATTCATTTGTGCGAAACGTTTTACCCTAACCATGCTGGGTGTGTTTTTTTTTTTTTTTTTTTGTTATGTTTTTGCATTTGGAACAACCTATTTCAAAATTAAATTTTTTCAGTGCCAGTGTATAAAATTTTAGCTACCAATAGAACATAAAGCTGGTCAGAATGGTGACAAATACTTGTCACTTTTAGTGCAGCAGACACAGGGTTAAAATGAGGAAGGACCTCTAAGAGGTTATATAATTAACTACATGTATTCAAATGTCGTAGACAACATTTTTTTTCATCATCCCGACGTCATAACTTTTAAATTTAAAATTTTTAGATACTATTCCTTGGACATTTTTTGAATTTACCTACATAGAATCAAAAAGCCAATATTTTAAGGTAACAATTTCGTATATTAAATGTAAATTTAATCGAATTATGTGTATGTCGGGGTCAAACTTACTGAATTTTATTCCTTAATCATATTCAATCTTCTCAGTCATATATAGAATGAGGAGCTAGTTAACGAATCATACTTTGTATAAAAAATCAAGAAAATCAAACTGGAGAAAAATGTACAAAGATTTTTAGAAAAGTAAACATATTCACAATTAAAGAAAAATAATAAACATGCTATATACAATAATTAAATGACCGATTTTGCCGTATCACCATAATCACCATATTTGACGAAATAAGGGATAGTTTGCCATATTCTTATCAACTTTTATTTTGTTAATTGTCGTCGTTTGCAGCGTGTCAGTTACTGTCGTTTTTCGCTTGACAATATTTGACTTTTTAGTACATTTTAATTTTTTTCACGAAAATGAGCATGAGTCTGGAGGCATGCCGCTTAAAAAATGAAGTAAATATTTTGTCTTTTTTTTGTAATTTGGTAATATCTATATAGTGTCTCTTTGGTATGAATGGTCAGTTACGTTTACAATATAGTTTATGCTTTAGTACAAGAACTTCTTTTTCTCAGACGATTCCGCGTTGATGTACATTTCTCTGATCACGTCACCTTGCCTGGCGGGAAACTTCTCCAGAGTGCGGAATAGTATCTAAAAACGAAAACAAACAATCGTAACTTTACGAAATAAAGCCATCCCAATGATGATAAAATGCACATCAACATTTTCATATACAATGTAGTTAGTTGGCCAAAAACCGTGTTATTAAGAAATAAATGTGTTTTTTTTTTTTTTTTTTTTTTTGTCACAGACTTCAGAAAATTTATGTAATTACGATAGATTATATGAATATGAAGTATATGAAGTTTATTGATCCTCGCAATCGGATTAAGACACATGGGCAAGCACATGTAAAAAAAACATTTTGAACTATTTACTAATTACAAAATTTATTGAATAACCCTTAATAAAAAAGAAAAAATATCTAAATATCGCAAACAGATTAAAACAAAAACAAAAACAAAAACAAAAAAACAAACGTGTTGTATCATACCAATAAAAGGGGAGGTAATGACAATTAAAATTTGGAATTATTCATGTAATTTACGGGGAGGTTATAACATGTTTAAATTATGGGCAGTAAATGCTGAATTACCGGTAAGCTTCTGGCGGCAACCTCCACATGTTTGAACTCGAAGTATGTCCCATTTTCTGTGCATACCCTGACAGCGTACATGTGACTGTGACCTACTTCCGCGAAGCCTTCCGAGCGTTCTTCCGGTATCAGTGCCTCGTATTGGATGAGAATAACATCATCTTCCGGTGACGTTTTCGTTTTAATCTTGTCACCAAGATTTAACTTCATAACTTTGCCAAGGTGAAATTGGCAGGAAAGTGCCTTCCCCTTTGATATATAATAATTATAATATTGGGCTTTTAAGCAACAATTAATGACAGTGTTTCCTCCGTATTTATTCTAGTCTTAGTAAATTTATAATCTTTTTCTGTACTTTTTTTTATAAACATGCTTTAAAGGATGATAGCTGGTATATGATTATCATGTTCGATTGCGTTATTTTGTATATTAAATATTACGTTACAGAGAAAAATATACATGTATCTAGGCAACAATATCCAAAGTTTACAAACCGGAGTTTGAAGTTCGGGCCTCCCATAGTCCCATCACGGGTTTTGTATTACCGGTTAAATAAAGGCTTTGACCCAACTTTTACTGACTTCACTTTGGTGATAAAGACGTCAGGGACGTCAATCGTCGGCATAACATCAATGATGACGTCATCATAGAACTTTCCAGGGAACTTCACTGTGACGTTGAAACGTGGTTTTCTCAGCAATAAATATCTTATTGCTGGCCGTCTTCAAGTGTTATGTCAGGATCGGAGGCCGCTCAATGGAAGCCGCTGCGGAAATTAAAAAACTTATTTAAAGGATCGAATTTGTGAAACGCCCTTACCATTGCAATACTTGATATTAAATGATTAAATAAAATAGCAATTAATTACGAAACCGCCTGGTCAAATTCGTTGTTCGGAACTGCGACCGAACCGCTAACTCATCTCGTGTAATTTAATTCTATTTTAACTCTTCTTCACTTTTTCATTATACAATCATAATTTTTGTATCCTATCTGATTTTTTTTAACACATCATTAGTTTTGCAGAGAATATAAAATAAAAATAGAAATTTTTACCTTTCACAATAGTAAGGAGCAATTACAAGGGTGGTCGCTAGAAAGTCCATTCTGCTCTTGTATAGTAAACCTAGTTTTGCTAGAAGATGATTTTTGTAACTGCGAAGTTAACATAATACACCCGAGTATCTGGCAATCTCCACAGCGACCGGAGCTTGCAAATCATTTTACCCTGAATTATTCATAACTGCTTTCACGTTTCAAATTCATAAAAATTCAAAGTAACGCCTTAATGGAAATGTTTTTTGAAATGTTATTGATCGGACAGTTGGCAAACAGAAACTTCTTGAATAAAATTTAAAACGACGGTTCTGAAATTTGCTGAAGTTTACATACATGTATGGAATATATGTTGTTGAGTGATTTAAGGGGAGGCAAGTAAATGAAGCGTAAATTAAGCCTATTCAGGAATTTACTGTCGCCAGGGATATCTTTGTAAAGATCTTTGACAAAAATGTCTACACGCGTTTTCTTAACTTTTATTATTGAGACAGACCTTTATACACTGACTTGATATCGCAAAAATTATAAGAGATTATTGATGTGTCTACATATCAGATCATGTTGGCCAAGAAAATGTTAGGCTTAAGCCTTTAGATACTCCGGGGTACCGGAGTTATGTGATCCATAAAAACAAAGGCTGTCCAAGGAGCAATTTTAAAGTGAATGTCTTTGATATTATTTTGAGAAATTATATTAAGTATAACCTTTTAAAATGTAATTTTTAAGATCATCTGCCCTTTAAGCACGACACCGCATGAAGATAATGAACAAGTATAACGTGAAAAGGTTAGGTTTCTTAAGATCTTTTGACCTTAAAAAACGATACAGCAGGCAGTACTATTCAGGTTGCATGCACATACTATGTTTCAAATGACAATATTTATTTATTGTGCAATACATGTATCTCATACGGGGCCCTAAGCACCAACTTAAGCATTATTCAATCATTAAAACTGAATATTTGAATAAATGAACCTGACGGAAGAAATAGATGCGAAAATCTCCGACTTTAGCAGTATTCAATCTGTAATACTGTTTAGCATAGAAATAAAAAAACACAATGGACCATGAAAATTACATAGACAAGGTAATGGGAAAAGTATCCGCATTATATATCAGATTGGATAAAGGGACGTAAGTCATACACGTTTTCGACAACAGAATCTATAGTCATTTTCATCTCTTAACTCCCTTTTTATTACAACATTGTTAAATAGATAAATAAGTTGTTCGAACATATCGACCGAAAGTATAATAAAAATAAATTTTCAATAATTCAGTTTAAAACTCCAGTAGCAAATATATCTATATATATTCTAGCGTCTGATATATAACTATACTGTTTTATGTCCGTTAACTACTAAGTAATGTAAAGCCTAAGGACATCAGCTTAGCATCGAGTCCTGGTCGATATTCTGGCCAAATTAACTCTGACAATATGCATGTAAAACCAAGCAATATCAATAGAGAAAAAAGATCTAAGAACCCCAGCTTAGCATCGAGTCTTGGCCGATATTCCGCCAAATAAACTCACAATATGCTTGTAAAACCAAGCAAAATAAATAGAGAAAAAAGGACAATGAACCTCAGCTTAGCATCGAATCCTTGTCGATATTTCGGCCAAATAAACTCACAATATGCTTGTAAAACCAAGCGAAATAAATAGAGAAAAAAATGTTATATGTTATTAATGCATCAGTGGTAAAAACCGACCAAAAACACAACCAGAACCATCCCGAGTACAGCGCTTATATCTAACACCATTTTCCAGAATGGATCTTCTATAAAGAACTGTTTCTTATATTTGACATGACAATCTTCGCTGTGATAGGAGTGTGACACTATTGGCACGCCGCATATTCTGTATAGGATCCGTCTAACCTTTCCGATCTCATTAGAACGCTGTCTATCCTCGTCACTCGTATCACGTGATCTAGTGTCGTCTGATGTCGAATTCTCAGACGATTCACTTTCAACTGTAAAATCCGTCTTACCTTAAACATATCAAATAAAACAGTTGCGATCTATACGAAAGCTTGTGTTAGAATACTAAAAAGACAAAGCTACATTCAACTGTAGAAATTCTTAAATTTTTTAATCTTAGTCTAATCAAAATTGAACGAGTGTGTTCTGTCAGAGTTGACATAATAAAATATTTGTCCCAGACATGAAACAGAGATACAGGTGTATGAAATATCTCTTTTAAGACCAATCGAAAATATAATTATGTAGATAATTACATAACTGTCCGGGAAGATACCAAGAGGATATTGAATGAGTGTCGGTTTAAAAATAAAATTGAACGAGTTGAGTGCGAGCCTCTGTAATATTATTTTATTCTATGAGTTCAATGAATTGAGTACAGAATCTACACGAAAATAATATTTTATTCATCACATATATAACATAAATAGATGATGTTCAAGTTTTTTCTTCTATAAATACAGGATTTATTTTCATTGAGTGGTATGAAAAATAAATATTTCATCAGTGGCTATATGATATTTTTATACCACAAGATAAAAATAAATCCTGTATTTATAGAAAACAATGAATTTTCTGTTTATTGTATGCATTTTTGTATTTTTTTGACATTACAATTTGGAAGACATCCCCTTTATTTCTATGTATTAGCTGAATTAAGAAGAAATTAGTCCGGCAAGACACCAGTGAAAATAAGAAAAATATGTTTCACTGCAGTGAAAAATACATTTTTAAAGTGAAAATATGGAATCACACTTTTTATCTCATCAATATTTCTCAATGTATCATAATTATTTAAGTATATAATGAAGTTAATCATGTAAATTATCATTATTTATTCTTACTTTCAAGTTGACCTGAAATTTCAGGATCAGACTCTGCCTTCTTGTCTAATCCTTTCTTTATGGTCCACCATGTAAGTCCCTGTAATAATAAATACGTTTACACGGCGATTATAAGGGTACAGACTAAGCTAGGATGTTTGGTATTGGTGGAATATTTCTTTGTTTTTAAAAAAACATATCAAAGAATCTAAATTGAAAAAAGATGTTTGGAAATAATTTCAAATAATGAAAATCGGGCGACATGCCAAACTATCGGACGTTACAATGATGCGGTTTAAAGAAAATTGGTTTAACGTTACGTTATATGGCCTGTCTCTTAAGCATATAAACATTGTTGTTTCCAAAGAAAACAAGTAACATGTAAGAATAAATGTATGAAGTTGCAAATAATGTAGAGGAATTTTACTCATTGAAGAATATATATGATCTTTCTGATCAAATTTTTCTAAATATCAATATCAATAATAAGAATCAACGTCATTTCCTGTAATTACATTTTGTATTTGTAAATATCTAAGTCTTAAGAAAAAAGATGGCTGAAGTGAAGCAAACTCCTAGATATAGAGTTTAATCCCTCGAAACATCGATGATTGCAAAAGGTAGTTATTTATTGATTGTTTACAGATTGGTTCCTAAAATGAACAATCACCGGCTGCATCTCGCTGCAACAAACGAAGAAAGCACCATTTTCTCGAACCAACCGTTCAAACAACATTTGTCTGATTGTATTGCAGATTTGATTTTGTCTTCTTTGCACCATAAGATGCCCAAAGCCCCATTTCAAGAAATATGTCCGTGAGATTTCCGCATGGCATGGTCGTTTTATGAACCGGTGATTTGCTCTTTCTTGACATAAATGTTCGAAAAAAGCAATATTTTCTCGAGCCAATCATGAACCGGTGATTAGTTATTTCTGTATTTAATGTTCGAAAAAAGCACCATATTCTTCTTCGCAACATAAGAGGCCCAAAGCCATAATCCATGAAATACGTCCGTGAGATTTTTTGCATGGCATGGTCGTTTTATGAACCGGTGATTTTGTTCTTTCTGTATATAAATGTTCGAAAAAAGCACCATATTCTCGAGGCAACCGTTCAAAGACCATTTGTCTGATTGCGTTCGGGATTCGATTTTGTATCAATTTGAAGCGTCTTCTTTGCACCATAAGAGGCCGAAAGCCCTAATCCAAGAAATTTGTCCGTGAGATTTCCGCATGGCAAATTGTAGGTTCGAACCGCGCCAGCGTCTTCGCACTTTGTCATGCGAGAAAGCTAGCTTACGGAAAGTCGGTGCCCGTTCAGGCTTGAAATAATAATGCACAAAAGACAGGTGCATGAGGTTTTCCTCCACCAATAAAGGTAGAAAGTTGCCTTATTAGCTATATTGTATTGGTGCGACGTAATAGGGAACCAAAATAAATAAATGAACAAATAAATAAATACATAAATTGAAAAATAAATAAAGAAAGAAAGAAAATGAATATGAAGGACAAATTTAAACAAACTAACATCAACATTATCTCTGGGCGACGTAAACATGCTGATGATGGCTATACCAATCATCGTCAGGAAAAATAGCATCACGCAGAAGTACGTGTAGTGTACTTCATACAACACAGCAGGTCGGGTCTCCGGCTCACCACAGATAGGTGCAGGGTACGTGAAATCTATCACCAATCGAGCCAGCCCAATAACTTGAACGATCAGCAAAGAGTAAAACGCAGCCTGGAAAGTAAAGTAATTATGCATGAACGCTATTCTAATTCATTTAAGAAGCGCATAAGTTAATTCACTTGGACCGAACACTAGTTGCAACCGTTCAGGTTAAATAATTGAATACGTGTATGTGAATTTGGCGTTTTCACTAATACATGTATGTGTAATGGCATTTTTCCACAGTGAAATATTAATAAATGGGAAGGAGAACAATTCACATTCATGGCGGTATCATAATGAATGGAAGTTTTGAAAAGATTCATATCGAAAATTGCCTCATACTAACAGAAGACGATAACTGGTGTTTACCGGCTCAGTCATACGTTTCCATAATGCTGCCATCAAAAACAGGGCACCAATAGGCGTTGCTAGGTAACCTTGTATGGCGTTAAGGTAGATAAAAAGTTGTCCACTTTGAGAGGATTTAACCAGCGGTATCCACAATACACTTAGTATACACATAAACACAATAAATACTCTGAAAACAAGACACATGTATATACTTTTATATGCACAGTAATGTAGTAAGTTAGAAAGCGTATATAATATATATTTAACTGAATTTAGTCTAAACAAATGTTGATAAGACATACAAGATTGTATTAAATGTTAATATTAAAAGCTAAACACGGTCCACAAACGCATCTGCTGCATTATCAAGTACAGTCAGACATTCTTGTCTTCAATCTATATACATGTTGTAAGCCAAAAATAACCGTACGTACCTTCCTACAACAAGTCTTTCTTTCTCGGATGCTTTAGAACGTATTCTTGTCCAGAGATCCATGGTAAATATTGTGCTAGCACTGTTAAAGATGGAGGTCAGTGAGCCAATAATGGCAGCCAACATCACCGCCACCTGTAAACCCCGTAATCCTTAAAATATATAAAAAGAGGTCTGCAGGTTGCACCAAGGTCGTCTGGCAAAACAGGATACGCTGATATAATCGCCAAGATTTGAATCCTAGCAATCCGTTGATCAAACAATTATCTGTTCAATTCCTCGCCGAGAAGAGCATCGAACAAATTCCCCAAACCGTTAAATCGGCATAATGTAAAACCTAACTGTGCAGATTTCGGAATAGGTAAAACACGTTAGTTATAATTATGATGTTTCACATGTTCAAAGACCATTTTTAAAGGTTTGCAAAGTATTACTTATCGATTTCTTCTACTAACTACATATTTACATATAACAACATTTTGTCCAAAATATTTTGAAAACGACAATATAAATAATTCTCCTACCCAAGATTGTCAAAAAACATTGTACATGTAAATCGATATGAAAATTAAGGATTTATTTCAAGGCTGACGCTACATGCCTTTCCACTTTTTTTTAATTATAAAGATCACTACAGTGCTATAGTCACAGTTAAGCAGGGCATTTATTTCTTCAAGGAACGGCGATGGACCGTATTTATATCCGGATAGAATTGTCTTGCTTCTTTTAAAAAGTGTTTTGCGACCTTTGTGAAAATTAATACTACATTCAAACTGGTACAGCAAAGGAAATCAGATTGTTCTCTAAATGGCGGACCATACATTTATTTTTCATTTCACAAAAAAAGAATAACGAAAGGTCTACACATAGATTATGCATACCTGTGGGTAAGATTTCGAGCACAAGTTTGGGATACGCGATGTTCGAGCAGCCGACGGGATTACCGCAATATTTGGTACACTCTTCAGGGTCCACACAAGCTACCTCATCTTAGAAATAATTAGAAATCATATTTAGTAATGTTAATAAATCACGTGCCAGATATAAAATTTGTAAATGTTCGGCAATAGTAGAGAAACTTATACAGCAAACAAATCCATATCAATAGTATCTGTTCACGTCTTCCTGCAGCTTATTTTGTTCTGACAAAAGTTTTACTTTCACTTTGCTTCATACACTTTACCTTGAGTCTTTTGTTGGCAATAGATTACTAGTATAGCCATGCGACAAGCTCAGACTATGTGCTGTCTGATCATGGTCTGCATTGTTTACTATCCAGTTGTTGCGTATGTCACAGGTTGAGAAAAACGTGCATTCCCTTTCGTGACTCGAACCCTGGACCCTCGGAATTCCGTACTGCGGCTTTACTGACTGAGCTATCCGGCCGCTTACACACTGTCTCCCCGAAATAGTGAACAGTTCTGAAGCGTGCCACGTATTTTGAAATTTTCCCCAAAAGTGATGAATGGTTTTGTTAAGTTTTATCAAATTTAAATTTTTAGCTTGGTGAAGGTTTATTAGGGTTGAAAATGCTAAATGGGAACAATGTGTCACATATTAGATTATTAAAATACATGTACCTGGAAATAGAATTCTGCTAATCATTCCCGGCATGACCATGATGTACATGGGTAAAATCTTCAGATAGCCGGCTACCAGAGATCCGGCTTTGGCATGAGACAGTGTCTTTGCTGCCAATGTCCTTTGAACAATTACCTGTAAACCAATTTTAACATTAAAATAGCAGCACTGATAAAGTAAAAGGGACATTCGTGTGTTGGTGCTTAAACAAATGTATACTCATCAAATGTCATTCTTCAGACAAGTTTGATTTTTAGTATATAATGACACAGACACTTGGGGTTTGGAGCTCAAAACGCCTTTAAAATCCAAATAAAATGCATATTTGTCAATCCCAGGACATGTACTGATCATATATATCAAAAAATCTTAATATATGCCGTTTTGAAAAAAAATCATATTTCAACAACTATAATAATACACAAGATAAAAATGTTCGCCGGAAAAAATCCGCACCCCTACCGTCATAATCACCATGTATTTTATTCCATTTCCAATATTTTCACATAATCCTTTGGTCCATCGACACAGAAGATATAATTCTTCACGATGATGGTCAATTTTAAACTTCAACGGTAATATAACAACGCAAACAGCCGAAATAAAACATCAATATTATCGCCGTTTTTTTTTCAACGACAAAATCTTTCGATAAATTCAATGGACCAGACGGCTATGAACGAAGCTATCCGATTATGTGGCCCCAGCTTTGCCGTGTGCAAAATGCGCAGCGCTTTTAAGTTTGGGAACCACATAATCGGATAGCTTCGTTTCATAGCCGTCTGGTCCATTGAATTTATCGAAAGATTTTGTCGTTGGAAAAAAAAACGGCGATAATATGATGTTTATTTCGGCTGTTGCGTTGTTTATATTACCGTTTGAAGTTTAAAATTTGACCATCATCGTGAAGAATTATATCTTCTGTGTCGATGGACCAAAGGATTATGTTGAAAATATTGGAAATGGAATAAAATACATGGTGATTATGACGGTAGGGGTGCGGATTTTTTCCGGCGAACATTTTTATCTTGTGTATTATTATAGATGTTGAAATATGAATTTTTTTCAAAACGGCTTATATTAAGTTTTTTTGATATATATGATCAGTACATGTGCTGGGATTGACAAATATGCATTTTATTTGGATTTTAAAGGCGTTTTGAGCTCCAAACCCCAAATGTCTGTGTATAATGACGTTATATTCACTAGTTAACATGGTTCATTTCCGTCACCCACAGGAATGAAGCATTATTTACACGTGCAAAAAGTATGGCCAACATACATGCACTAGAATGAAGTAATTTATTTATGACGGTTTTTCTTATATCTAGAAAAGGGTTTGACCCTTGGAAGCAATGGAAACAAAATGAGCCGTGTCACGACAAAACCAACATAATGGGTTTGCGACCAGCATGGATCCATACCAGCCTGCGCATCCGCGCAGTCTGATCAGGATCCATGCTGTTCGCTTACAGACCGTATAACAAGTAAAGAAACTGATAGCGAACAGCATGGATCCTGATCAGACTGCGCGGATGCGCAGGCTGGTCTGGATCCATGCTGGTCGCAAAACCATTATGTTGGTTTTGTTGTGACGCGGCTCATTAATGTCTCATTTTAAGCCTGCTTTTGATTTCATTTCCAGATTAAACCACCTTTTTTTTCAAGAAACTCAATATTTGAAATAATTAAAATGTACAAATAATACCACTTTACTTGAATTTATTCGTGTAAAAATCAAAGGGAATGGATTCTTTAAATTATACGTCAAGTCTTTACAATCAAATGGAACATCCTCAAATGAAGATTTGAGGTAGATTGGAAAAACAATTTGATAATAAAATCTCTGTTAATCTATATGACGTATTTATACCATACCTGATCGTTGCACCAATACCACATACACCCTAAAACCATCTGCAATATGAGGCCAGGCCAGGGGTTGTCTGAATTAATCGGGTCACGAAGTATGTTAAATGCATCCTCGCGCGGTAAACCGCACGTGCTGTTGTAATCCCGAATCGACGGGGTGGAGTCCATATACTTCTCACGGAGGTTTGCGTACCCGCCTATTTTATGAAAACCTTAAATAGGAAAAATAGCAAGAAAAACAATAATAGTCCTTTTAGTTTGTCGCTCACCTGAAATGAAAAATGCAACTTCTTTCACCTAGTTGGCGTTGTGTTGTTTAATTTGATTTTGGCCCAAGTGACCTCAAAGTCTACATACGAAAGTGTTAATGCCAATACACTAAGTCATCTTATCAAGTAAGAAACTTTTCAACTACTGACACAAATCGTTTGTTTTTCTTTGTTTGTCTTGTTTACTTTTCAACGACCGCTAGGGAGAGCAAAGTTAGTGTTCACTAGGTTACATTACAAACCGATACAAATAACACATGAACATATTGGAGTGGTGAATGGGCATTTAAATAAAACCATTGTCAAAAGTAGGACTGTTAACGCACCATCGCACAATAAAGGAACTTGGATCTGTTGGTGATGCAACTACCTCGCAAGTTTGGTGCAAATACGTAAATCAGAAATTCGGTCAGTTTTGAGGTCCGGACAAATCTTGACAGCAGACATACGAACGACCATTGTTCCTTCAAGGTCAAAAATAAGTGCTAAGGTGTCTTATATAAAACACGTGTAGATTATTTTCAACTTTGCTATTAGTGCGTTTTCATTATGAATTTCAAAGCATTACTCACGTGATACAAGTGACCTTGCCAAGAAATACAACTGTATTCAATTTTATTGCAAGCTCATAGTAACAGAAGGTGTTTGGATAAAAAAACTGTTATATGTATAGAAATAGTATATAGGTTACAATAACAGACAACAACATAAACTTACTCATCGCGGACAGGACTATGGATCCTACCAAGAGAATTCCGGTCTGGAACGTGTCTGTGTAGATAACAGTTGTTAGACCTCCTAAAATTTCAACATTTTCAATAATAAAATTTGCAAAATGGCGTATCTTATTAAAGTCTAAATTTTCTTTAATTCGTCATAAATAAGTTTGTTTTCAAAACAAATACAACACGAAAAGAAATGTGTTATTTGATTATTTGAAAACGACTATTACAAAAGATAATTTAGAAAGCCGTTTATAATGCGATCAGAGAAGCAGCAGAAACATTTTTGTGTCCACATAGAAATCTCTTTGTCGAACCAATATGTACACACCTTCAAGCGATAATCCTATCCGTACCACATTTCCGAAGCTCTGATTTGAACGAAATATATCGATATACCTTACTGACCTTCGGTGGAACACTTTAGAAAATATACATGTATATACTAATTTACTTACAAACAAACAAACAAAAACAAACAAACAAACAAAATCGTAAACTTCTACACGACATACTCCGACTATGAAAATGAACTTCATCGACATATAACACGCTTATCTATTGCACTTCACGACATATAACGCCATTTAACAATGCACGCGATACATTTTATACATGTACCTAATATTGTGAATAAGCCAGTGACGACCAACAAGAACGCTATGGAAGGATACATGTTCCAACCCATCGCCATCTGTATGAACAGAGATCCTCCGAATATAGTCGCCTGGAAAATATAACAATATCACGTTCGCTCAATGATAAAATCATGGGTATAAAATCATTTTTGACATAATGTGAATTATTTTGGTCTAAACATATTTATTTAAGGCTTTTAAGCTCGTTTGCGAAACAAGTTCTTGTCACTTATATTAATCACTTTCGAGCCCGCTTCCTGGAACCAGCTTTAGTACTGGTGTCATGTGAAGAAACATGGATGTGATACGATTAGGGCTCAAACCCATGAGGCAGACAACTTAACCACTAGGCCACCCCTCCCCTTATTGTTATATTTGAATTGTTTTAAATGTTATGTTATACGTATTCCAATATACATATTTAAGTTATATAACACATGTTTAATATAGAATGACCCTTCAAGCGATCAATATGTCCATTTTCAGACAAAAAGGAATCTTACATTACATGTATTATCATTTCTTATATTACATTAGGTTCGTCGTAAAAATAGTATTTAACTTACGAATGGCTGACTTTCAAAATAAAGATATAAATGAAATGAAGACTATGATATGTTAGTTATAAAATGTTGTATATGATCTTACAGCAAGGCGCACTATAATGTAGACAACGAGGGATAGAATACTGAGATAAACTCGTATTCTCTGACCCCCAAATCTCTTCTCCATATACTCCGGCATCGTCGTTACCTGTATGCAACAAGAAGTGCTAATTATACGATAGAAAATTTCATATTCTTTTATAGAAATAATTTAAAAAAATTGTATGAAAATGTGACCATATGTATATGACGCAATTCTATGCAACAAAATATTGAGAGCAAATGTATCAAGTATAATATCAAGCTGATTTACATAATATTTACTGTAAATTAGATATATTCGAAAGCCAAAATTTCGCAAAATCAACATTTCGGACTATTTGACGATGTAAAATATTCGCGAATTTCTACATTTCGTTCTTTTTAATATATGCTACTCAGTTTTGTTAATCGATATATATAATTTTAGATAGATAGCAATTATAAATTTTCGCCGCGAAGATTTTAATTCGCTAAATAGCGAATTTAATCTCTAGCGAAAGTTTCTGGTTTTACAGTATTTTATTATATTTGTTTATAAATATGTATATTTTTGAAGTATTTACCCCTGCTGATATGTACACCGGGACAAACATCCATCCGAGTAAGATTACTAGGGGCATTCCCTGTAATAAAATTTAGCATTAAATGCCATTGTTTGTTCATACACATAATGCTACACAACATTTATTATCCTCAATATAACACAACAGTTACATTTTATGTATACATCAAATATATATACATATATTCTATAGATTATTTTGAAAATATTATTATAAAATTATATATTGTTTGAAAATGTGTGCATCTTAAGTTTTTAGCCAACACGTCACTGCTTTATTCAGACGCCGAGGTTATCTTTTTCAAACCAGTGAAGCAATTAAAAAAAAAGACAAAAGGCACCTTGTACAGATGTAAGTTATTCAATAACACGACTCACCAGCCATTCATAAATGATGATAGAAATGCCGGCTGCAGCTCCGGTACCAGCGAGGCCAATAAAATGTTCACTTCCTATATTACTGGCGTATAATGAAGCCCCAACCTTTAATTAATAATAATATAAAATAATTAGAGACATAATTCAGAAAACAAGTAAATTTGGTAATTATAAATTGATTTATTATATTCATATAATTCTAACACTATCGGAGATTTCTCTTATATAAACAAAGAAGGTCGGAAGTGTGATTTATTACATACTTATAAACGAAATATTGAGAAATATTGATGAAATAAAATGCGTATTTTCAATTTCCGTATTTTCCCTGTAAAATTTATTTTTTACTGCAGTGAAATATTTTTAAACTGTTCATACTGAAATACCCTACATGTGAAGTAAGATTGCATATCAAATTTGCCTTACAAAGGGTCATTACTCTGGAGTGTACGAATAGATTTTTATTGTATTTGACGAACATTCTTCCCTTTTTACTATAATTATAATAATCAATTATACTGAGTTTCATCATAACCTAATCAAGCACTTGTCAAATATGGCTAAAATAACAGTTTTTAAAGGGCCGTAACTCCTATCAGTGGAATTTGATGGCATTTGTTGAACCTTAATATTACCCTACCTTAATATTCATACATTTCTACCAAGTTTCCAGAAAATTTCACAAACTGATTACATGATATGGACCCAAACGGACGGACAGAGCCTTTTCTATAAATCATTTCAATTTTATTGGCGGGGATAGCAATATAGAAACTTAAACAACAGACATGTCACAGGTACCGCGTTTTTTTCTTTAGATTTCGTTATTATTTTCTTCTTATAATTATAAAAAAGCTAAAGCAATTAAGTATTATGTAAATGCATGAAATAGTGAAAACTGTTCATTTACACGCGCTCATTAACATATCAATCAATACTTTGTTTTAAAGAATTTAGATTAGCTTAAAACAAGCCTTTTAATTGCATTTTGAACATCTAGAACCATTTGTGTTTTGCCTTGACTTTCATATTTTTTTTTCAATCAAAAAAGAAAAGATAGAAGGGTAACACTTAAACAAATTCAAAAAATGAATACACGACTTAAACACAGTATACTCCCAGTATTTATAGCTAAATTTAGCTATATTAAATAAAAAGCTTGCGTTTTACATGAACAAAGAACGTATATGACAGAAAACGAATACTATATTTTAAGAACAATATATATACGACAAAGTGTACAAAGTGAACTTCCACGTAAAATTTTCATGTGCTTACAACATTTCACTTTTATAAGACTGGAGTTAATGGCATACTTAGTGTAGTAATTAGAATGTTATCAACCGGGCTGATAATTGTACTTTAGTTTGTTAGTTATGTTGACTGAGTGCCAGTCTGACTTGACCTCCTTGTATCTCATGACCTGACATTGTGACCCCAAAGTGTTATACTTATATCAAATAAATTACCTATCTAAACCTATATATAACAAATGTATCACCCGAGTTCGTTCACCTCACAGAACGAAATAGCTGATAGTAACCATGTAGTTATGCATTTCTTTCAGACCGTTGGTGTGTTTATGCTATATACTTAATATTTATATCATGAATGAGTATATTTTCTTCAATAAAAAGAATTGACCAGTCATGCACATTGATGTATAATAGATTAATATGATGACACCGAAATACATCTTACTGGAATTAACTTACTGGAATCCAAGTCATTGACCGACCTGCTAGGAAATAGTTCCTCACTGTACCTCGGTGTGCGCGACACAGACTCTGAAAACAAATAAATTAACGTAACATCTATAAATAAATAGTTCCTTACTGTATTTTGGTATGTGAGACTCAAACTCGGAATGAAATTAAATAATAACGGTTGACGGTTGACGGTACATTCAGTATGGAACAAGCAAGGACGAAGTATGTCGTTGAACAGCTAGTTGCAGTTTCAAATGTAAAAAAACACCGTCATTCTATTTGACCTGTTTTTTATGTTTTGTCTTTCATTTATTTTTCGACAAAATTTACAAATTTTCGACAAGTTTCAACATGAAATACATCCGATCAATTGCCACCAATTCTATCAAATGTCGAATTCGTGTTTTGGTGTTTTGTTTAATCGATGCCTAGTTTTTCCCTCTGTTCAAAAATTCGATATCGTAGACGATACACATTTTCTTTTCTTTATTTCTTTTGGAGTCATATCACAGTTTAAGCTTTTGTATTAAATATTCCTTTTATTTTAAACAAAGTTGACCCCTTAACCGCATTTCCAAAAAGACATTTTATAGTTACATGTCTCTGTAGGTGTAAGCGACATAAAAAATACAAAATTTACATGTTGATGAGTCAAAAATAATTCCAATCTTAAATCTGTAGCGTTTAATGTCAACATGCAGTAATTCTGAAGATTTGGAACTACTTGCAATTGCGTATGCTGACAAATGTGTCCTTAGGTTTCCGGCAGTTGTCATGGTATTAGTAAATTAACTAAATCAAAATAGGAGGGGTTTGTATATTTTATATAACAAAAATAATGTTGATGTACAGTTTATTTATTTAAAATTCTTCTAAATACAATATGTAGTAAAAACTACCAGGGCTATAAAATAAGAGATTACTTTTCAATAATTTTCATCTTCAGAGACTCATATATATATTTTGTATTTCTTTTTTATATAAAAAAATAATTAGAGATCTATAAATTCAAGTTTCAATGTATCATTAAACACGCAAATACTGAAATAATAAGGATTACTGAAAAAAGTGGAACGAATATAAACATACCCATATTCCAACGGAAACGAGTAAAACAAAATAGCCAGCAACAACTAAAAAATCCCCAACCTCACTTAGAGCAGACGACTTTCCAGCCGCCATTTTGTAGTTTTTTTTTCTGTGAATTTAGTTCACCTAAAATGTATACCTCAGACGTATAGCAGCAGTGGAATTTTCCATCACTAACTACCAGGGTTGCCAACTAAAAATACATATCCATGAGATTTTACTTTTAACGTTATAATTATATATATTTTTTAAACGATTTAGTATTCACATTATATACATATTAGTACATGTATATCGATGACTTTTGCCATTAAAATATTTTTTTTATATAAAATAATAGTGAATGTAATGAAATTACATTTTTATATATTTTTCATCACAAGTATATTATTATAATTTATTATTTTATTGTTATGATTATGATGATTATTATCATTGATTTTTTCCCAGCGAATCGATCAGACTTGATGAAGAAATCAGTCTTTAAGTTAACATTTGATTTATTAGTTAATGGACCAGGTTCAACATTTGATTTCTTTTTATTCTTTTTAAAAATAAAGTTTACCCTTCATTTAATTGCTTTAAAAATTACTCAACATTTTATTTCTTTTTAGTGAATAAAATTTGATTCAACATTTATTTCCATTTTAGTGTGTAAATCACACTCAATATTTTATTTCATTCTAGTAAATACAACTAAGTTTACATCTGATATCATGCTAGCGAATAAATCCTACTCAAAATCTGAGTTTTTTAAACTGATAAAATCCATCTTAAAATTTCATTTCTTTTCAATGAATAAATCTAACTCAAAATTTGTTTTCTTTTCATTGAATAAATCTCACTCAACGTTTGATTTCATTTACGTGAATAAATCTCACTCAACGTTTGATTTTTTTCATTGAATAAATCTAACTCAACATTTGATTTCATTCCATTGTATAAATCCGACTCAAAATCAGCGGGGCTTTTAATATCTATTATTTGATTTCTTTGTAATGAATAAATCTAATTCCACATTAGATATCTTTGTAATGAATAAATGCAACTCCACATTTGAATTCATTGTAATATCTTAATTAAATGTAACACCACATTTGATTTCTTTGTAATGAATAAATTCTAATCCACAATAAATGTCTTTATCTTTTTTCTTTATATTTTCACATTGAGTTTTTTTGTATTGAATTAATCTCAGTGAACATTTGGTTTTTTTCAGTGTATAAATCTAACACAACAATAGATTTCTGTATATTGAATATATTCGTTTTAACATTTAATTTCTATATAATGAATAAATCTTAATTATGTATTTTTAATTGAAATACTTTTTTATCATACATAGAATACACTTGTTATAGCAATTTTTTTAAAAGATACGACACATCTCATAATACAAGATATTTAAAAAATAGTCTTTAATGTGTCATATAAATCAATATTCAAAACTTTTCTCGCTACTTCGTAACAGATCGAGAAAAAAGTCAGTTATTCAAGCACACACATGCACAATAACATCCAATTAAGCTTTAATCACAGTTAACTTAAGATAATAAACACTTTGTCCAGTTTTGACTAGATTTGTTTTCTTTTTCTAAATTGGATCTACATGTAGTTAAAATTATAGTCACGAATTACGTCGTGACATGTAATGAATTTATACGAAAACAACAATTTTTTATTCAATGTACAAAAAAAACATTTATATTATGATATTCTTTGATATATTAAAATATATCCATGTGAAACACGTCATATCATACTGTTTGCAAGCGAGTGAAATATAGATTTTGGTTCCCGTTTTATACATTTGAGCCGCGTCACGACATAACCAACATAATGGGTTTGCGACCAGCATATATCCAGACCAGCCTGCGCACCCGCGCAGTCTGATCAGGATCCATGCTGTTCGCTATCAGTTTCTTTACTTGTTATAGAGTATGTAAGCGAACCGCATGGATCCTGATCAGACTGCGCGGGTGCGCAGGCTAGTCTGGATATATGCTGGTCGCAAACGCATTATGTTGGTTTTGTCATGACGCGGCTCAATTAATTTTAATAATCGGTTAAAGGAAGCTGTTCAAGGATTGTGGAAACTATAGAATAAAGCCTCAAACGTGTCAGTCTTTGAGAGTTTATCATTCCTAGATAAGAATAAGAACAGATATTTGACCGACTTTGATATATATAGTGTTTACTGGTATAACATGGAAATGGAAAGGTTAATGGTCAAAATATAGATTTGACCAACTGCCTACTATTAATACGGTAAAATTAGATATTTTCGAGAGGCAGAAAAGTCGCGAAATCAACATTAAAATTTGGAACCTTCAACTATTGAATATCATATGCCTTTTCTTAACAGAATGAATGAAATTATTACGGTGATATTATGCCCATCCATGTGTAAAAGGTCAGTTAACATGCAAAATTAAAAAATGACTTGACATTTTGTCATGTAAATTTCTATAAATATCGTCCAGAAGGTATCGGTAACTCTTAATGCTGAAAAAGCCGGTCAGTCTTAGGTTAGTTTTTGTATCGTATCTTAAACATTTTTCATAATCAATACATTTTTCAGTCACCATTATAAACCCAATCTCTTGATATATATTACTAATTCAACTCAACTTGACAGCGAGAAAAAGGGCATAATGTCACTTTAATATACTCTTTTTAAAACCTTTTTCCAATAGAAAACTTACATATAAACGATCATGTTCTATGTAAATATGAATTAAAATCAAAGCGCTGAAAGCACTAAATCTGTTATATGCACATACAAGTACTACTCATATAAATTGGTATTAAAAGGAGATTTCTTCATCTTAAAAGAAGGATTATGATTGCAAAGTCTTACATTCCACCAGACAGACTTAAAACACTGGCAAATGGAAAACAGCAAAACGTGACTAATGCATAATTTTTCAATAGTTACTACAATTATGTATTTTTTGTGTATTATGTATAGAAATATACATGTATGTTCTTATATAAATTGTTAAAGATGACAATGTATATAAATGTAAATGTATTTTATTCTCCAAATATGACGGAAATAAAAGTATCTATCTCTCTATGTAGTTCTATTGTGGGTGACATAGAAACACTATTCTTTACATTTGCACGTGCACGTATAATGATTTTAAAATCAGGTTTGACCTAAATAAAAATGTATTTCTTTTACATCATTTTATTGCTATTAATGTGGACTTATAATAATAATGTTTTTATTATTATTACATGTATTAATTACTCTGTAAGAATAATGTTTTTTATTATTACATGTAAGATATACATGTCTGTAAGATATGATCTTAGTAGTATTTTTTTAAGATGATATCGATAATAACGTCATTATGATGTAAACTTATATCAACTTCTGGGTGAAAATAAGTTTTACGTGTGAGTTGCAGACTGTATATCTCTGTATGTTTTCTCAGTTCATCGAATGACAAAAAAAACGATATACTATAGACTGTTTATCATCATTGCATAATCATTTTCTTATGTATTCACATATACATAGAGTGGTCGGAGGAATGGAGTCTAGTACTGGTGTAACTCTCCAGGAACAATGGTTAGGAAACTACCCGCCTATATGACTGAAATACTGTTTGGAAAAGGCGTAAAATGAAACAAACAAACAAACAAACAAACATAGAGTGGCGACGTGCCCGAGTAGTTAACTCGGTAAGTGGTAATCTATGGATTGCTTGCCGCGTGGGTTCAAACCACATGGTAGTTTTTACCAGGAATATTAGTAAAATATCTTAAAGACATTCTCGTTAAATCTAATGTTAGGTCTTTTTTACAAATGCGAAATATCCATCCAGATATAATATAATTAGATGTACACATGATGTACACGCAACAAGTTTCTAAACGCATGAATAGCCATAGGTTTGATATCAAGATTTTTTCCGATCCTTTATTTTCCACTAATGTTGTTATCAAATTTAATAAAAGCAATCATTGTATAAAAGATTTAAATTTATGCCTATAGAGATTGTCTCCGATAATATGAAACGCTTATTAAAAGAATTGTACAGGATTCATAAGCTTAACACCTTATCTCCTAATGATATGAATGCAAAAGGTATGTAAAATGTTTAACTTTGTCATCTTTCAAGCAAATAATTGAGCCGGTATATATATGATGTGTTTTTCTCACATCAAGATTTTTTTTAATTTGTATTTATTTTATATATTTTTAAGGAGAATACAGTTATTCTAAGATTGGATGGGTCTTTGCGATTCCTGTGCAGATAAAATGGGATACGAATAACAGTGTAATTAACTTCTATAATCAAAACGATTTTACTTGTGTCAAACCAGCATTAATCAAAGGGCTGCAGCTCTATGGTATTTTCTGATCTTTGCAGACTATCTGTATGTACTTTCCTGTATAAGTTTATTTTTATATACTATAATTCATCTTACACAGCGACAGCGTTTTGATTTTCTTCTATAACAGTTTGAGATTGATACATATGGAATTTTGCATGAAAAAAAAAATAGAATTGCCTCGACATAGGCCTCTCACACCCTCAACGAGACCGCTTAAATTACCTCTGCACCACGGCGAAGTAATACATATGTACCTTGAATAAAAACGAATACATTATGTAATTCTAAATTGAGAATTTCATTTCGTGTTTGCAATCCTTATTAATTTCGAGGTATTTTGTTCATGATAAACCTGTTGTTTAACACTGATGAAAATAATTTAGCGGAAATCTTCTCGCCAAAACAGTCCGACATGTATATATTCCACTACTCGACAGTCAGATTTATTTGTGTACTACGCTCTGGAGTATTCGGTAATCGACATAGCTAAAAATAGCATTTTCATTGATTAAAATGATATTCATGATAATCCGAAGCTTTACGGAAATAGCCGAACATTTTTCATTGGGTAAAAAAGATATTCATCCGCGAAATTTGTGATTGTAACCTCATATTTCTATTGACTAATCTAAACTTTTAATGCACTGTAATTCGTTAAATGCCTACATTAAAAATTATTCTTTCTTTTAAATTGCTGGTTTTTAAGCAGTTTTGAGTGAGAACTACTTTGCGTTGTTAGGACTGTGAGGAAATTTTGTGTTAGACCGTGGATGTTAGCTATGTATTTACTGATCTTACGATCAGAAAATACAAAAATGATATTGTATTCTAAAAAGTAACGCTTATCAAAACAAAAAAAATAATTTAAAAACAACATTCAGCATACATGATCAAAGATACTAGTAGCTCGGAAAAAAAGATAAAAGTTTCGTTATGTTAAGTGTTTATAATTCAACTGAAGATAATACTTTGATGTGTTTGATGATTTCTTAATGAGGTATTTACTTATCAGTAACCTTATTAACAAAGGGGTAATAAAACATTGACATGGCATGGAAGTGTCACATTGAAGGTTCCATGATGATTACAGCTGGAAGTTCACAGCTAAACTACAACACCATTGTATATCTAGATGGGTTTTTTTTTCAGTTTAATAAAAAATTACACATAATAATTATATCTTTATTTTGAGAAGATAACACATATAAAAATATACAACAGCAATCATATATGTCTTATTTCCAATGTGGCCTTCTGAAATATAAAAATAACAACAACACAACATGTTTATAGGTACAAAAATATAACGAATTAAACATGTGTAATACTTGTAATTTCTAGAATAAGATAACTCATATACTTTCGATAGACACTCAACAATCAGTTTAAACATATACATTTATTGCATCAGTCATTTATTTATTCATTCATTCATTCATTCATTCATTCATTCAGTCAGTCAGTCAGTCAGTCAGTCAGTCAGTCAGTCAGTCATTCATTCATTCTCTTTCAGATATATTTTGTATTTTTCTTTCAAACAACATTTAAGATTATCAATATTGCAAATATTTAAAGGTATACTGTTTCAAATGTTCATGCCATGATAAGAAAAAGTGTCTGTAATAAAATTTGTTTTATGCCTTGTCCATAATACAATATCCTTTCGTGTGATAGATCGTAAATTGTATATTTTCTGGTCTGATAACGTCATCAATTCTCTTTTATAACTTGGGGCCATATTGTTTAAAAATTTCAAAAGAAGTACCGCCGTGTGGTATTTACATCTGTCAAGGAATGGTAACAAGTTAAGAGCTTCGAATAGCTCCATTGACGGAGATGTTTGTGGTTGCTGTAAAATGGTTTTAGCAATTCGTTTTTTTTTTTTATAATTTACAAACATTATTTATGTAGTTTGTGTATTTTTACCCAATATTATACATCTATAGTCCATAATAGGCAATACATAGCATTATATGCATTGTAAAACATTAATTTCATATAAAAGGCAAAACATACTATATTTTTCAACAAAGCATACTTTCCGTTGAGTTTATTTTATAAACATGATCAATTTGCAAGTGCCATTTGAAGGTGTTATCTATGCAAATACCCAGGACTCTTGGATCGGTTACATTTTCTAGAACTA